GGAAACTTGTTTTGACGATATGACCTTCCAAGAAATATAGATATATAAGAAACGGTTTTCCAAAAAAGGAAACTTTCTTTGAACTTAAAAACGCGTAATTAAATTTCAAGGAAACTTTTATTGATTATTAAACACTTTATTCTAAGAAAAGTTTCAAGTCTTAATCCAACTCTCTCGTTTCTGCGAATGCTCCTTCTACACGCTTCATATTCTCATACATTTCTTTTAGCGCAAGATATATATAGCTTTGCCAGGAAAAATCGAAATCAAAACCCTAATTTCAACACAGAACCAAACATTTCTCGTCTCTAATCGAGGTAAATTTTAACATCAATTCCATTATCAATAAGGGACTGGACAACAGCTCTGATTTTTCCTTCGAACTTGTCTTGATCCCGTGGGGTATAAGAAGCAGTGTAGACATCGGCCTCTTTCGCTCGTTCGGATAAGATCCTCCCTATCGACATACATGCCGGGATGTCGCATCGTGACCTCAATACAGCTTTCACGTCTTTGGAGTTTGTTCCCGCGACTGCAACTTGCTTACATGTGACACGGTGCGTGAGGGATGCCGAAACAAAGCGTTTTGAGATGAAGACATCGAGTGTGAAGGGCTCCATGTATGCGACTGTGCGTTGCTTGAACGAGACATGCTTGTCTGGATTCTTTGACTTTTTCTCTTTTTGGTATGTGTACGGTCTGCTTGTGTCCTCGTCCATGTAGTCTTCTACACCAAAGAAGCTTCTTGGAGCAGAAACAGTCTGTCAAAATTATGGCAAAGCTAAGTCGAATCAGGACCCATAAAGATTAAACTGATTCAACGAAGGTCCAATATTAAAAATGTTTACATCAGAGCCTAAACTTAATGATTGTACATCCAAAATCAACATTTATTAGCATTATCAAAGACCAACAAAGAACAGAGAGGTAGAACAATCCAGTCAATTAAATTTCATAGCTTGCAACTAATTTGGGTTCTGTACATACAATTCATCAAAAATTTATTTAGCAAACAGCACTAAAGCAAAAGAGTGTGGTTTAACGTCGGATAAACCATATTTGACTAGACCAAAAACAAGTTTGGAAAAGTCACCAAGCAGATCTAGTATGAGATTTCAATCAAACAGGGGTCACCAGGAATTGGACAAGACCGTAAACACCTGATTCATTTCATCTACATATTCTAGAAAAAATCGAACTATTTACTCAAGTAATCAAAAGGGGAAGGCTGGTGGCGTACCCGTCCATAGTGGAAGCCACAACTGGTTTGGCACAAGAAAGGTCGAAGCTTTTCTCTGCTACTTCCGTAAATCGATTTCCCTATGGAATACTTGCCAACCACTTGCTTCAACATTTTATCTGCACCAACCTAGGGTAAATACCCAAGTAGGATTCAATACAAATACTAGGAAGAAACATGCTCATAAAGACATTCTATCAAACTGTGAAATCTCAATTAACTCTGGAGGTCTGATAATAAGGAAACTATCTTTTTTGCACAAACTTTTGCATTGTGTTTAGAACAGGTTCCATTACTGACATATCAAAGAAATTTCATTGTCCAGAGAATGAAACGAAATGAGTGAATAGAGAAGGCAAACAACTTGACTTCTCTCAATAACAATCCAAAGACAAAATAAATCCATAGCATCTAATGGAGGAAAAAAAAAACAGAACAGCTAAAAGCTTGTGCCAAGAACATATAATTTCTAATTGCTAGCTGGTGAGCTATGGAAATGGGTGAATAGATTAAAAGGATTCCGAACTCAAACAATTATGACATAAATCATTTGAACAAATTCACTTGTTGAACAAATTTGGCTCGTCTTGAACGCGAATGCCATGAACCCAGCAGTATTTGGAAGCTCGATTTGGAGAAGAAAAAACTACTCTTTATGCACATAAGACCACTATTTATAATTGATAAATTACAAACTGAACTTGATCAAAAACTGAGAGAAGAAGAACGAAACAGGGACGGAAAAAACCTGAAAAAAAAACGACTATTACCCGGAGAAAGGAGATAAGAAGAAGGAGACTCAGGAAAAATTAATCGGCGATTTGGAAATTCTGTAGAGGAGGAGGAAAGAAGAAGTCGGAATCTCAAGGAAACCTTAAAATCAGGTTCTGAAATTTGGTGCTCGCCATGGCTTCGGAGCTCGAAGATTACTAAAACCCTAAATGATGGAACTTTCCGAATTTTGATCGTCCATCCTCGAAATCTTCTCGTTTTTCAAATTTTCCTCATAAAAATCTGATATTAGCTTTTATGACCAAATAATCTCTTCAAACTCATGAAAACGGTTTACCGAATCAGCTGGTTGAACCGGATGGTTTTCGGTTTAGGCTTAATAAGCCACGAGGTTTGATTTACAGAGTTACAGAACCTCACTTGACGACTCTCTCACTGCCTCAC